TGCAAATATCATTTTGTTTTACTAGCCCTTCACAGGGAAAGTACCATTTGTTCAGTATTTTAAGGCAGAAAATTATGTCGTTTAGTGCTTTGTGTTTAACACTTGGATGTGTTCTTAGCATTAGTAGTGTAAGCAAAAAAAAAGCTGCATAAATCTGGCTTTATTTGCAAACTGAACAGACACTGTGGGAGTCAGGAGAGAGTCAGTGACAACGTGTCTATCAAGCTCGCTGAAAATAAGGTACTTTAGCTACTTAAATCATAGGGAATATTTTGTGCTTTGTGCTGTAAAGTACCCTGAAATGTAAATTTTCTGTAGTCCTACTGGCATATTAGAAAGCTTTTTCCAATTAAAAGCCAATGATTAATGGTGACATTAAAATACATTTGCCTTTAAATAAGCTTGGTTTCTGTCTTAGGTGTGATTCTTTTACATGGAACTGCAAAATACACTGCACTTCTTTATAACCAACTCTTGGCATCAGTGATTAGAGAAGGAATCTTGAGTTCTACCACACAAAGCACTGCAGAGCAGCCAGCACTGTAAGGGGAGCAGGGGAGCAGCAATATTCAGAGGTGCTGGCCTGGGCTCTCTAGTCTCAGCCTGCCCTCAGAGGCGGCTGGTGCTGAACTGCCATGTCCCCATTCTCCAGGTCCACTTTGGGCAAAGCCAGTGGATGGGTGTTCCAAAGCAACTGGGCTGAGCTTGAATCTTTGTGAACAGACTTTGAGCTCTTTACTCACTGAAGGATGTGTGAAAGTCCTACCCACCATCTTGTGAGATTAAATATTGGCAGCGAACAGCAGTTGCCTTGTGAGGTCAGCTGTCATGTCAGCACCAGCTCTGAACATGTCAGATTCCATCCTCCATAGCACAGTTCAAACTGAAAGGGCCCAGTCTGGTCTAAAACACATGGGCAGTATAATCCATCAGAAACAGCAAGTATTGGGATACAGAATCCCTGAGCTTTATTTCTAGTAACAATTTCACTAGCTTCCCCCTTCCCTGTTGATAACATACTTCCCACTGCCAAAGGAGCAAGTAGTGAAAAAGCACAATATGCCACGTAAGTGCTAAGATTCCTCATCAACTGACAGGAAAACAGTGACACAACATGTTGTCTTAAAAACTCAGCAAAAGTAAATTAATCAGCATTTTTATGACTGCTACACCTCACTCTCAGATTGTTTTTGGAAACCTCCTCTCCCACCACTGCATGACAACTCTCTCCCTCCTCATGCCTGTGTTATTACCGTGTAATAACTAGCGTAACACTACTCTTTACCTGTCTAGGAATAAAAGGTGCCATTTGCAGTCTCCGTGGACTTTGATCTGCCTGCTTCTCCTCTTTCCTGCTCCTTCCCTTGTCCGGCCGGTGCGCCGGTGCTGCTGCCCGCCGCCGGCAGGTGTCCCCGGCAGCTCCGCCTGCCGCCCTGCTCCTCATCCTCATCCTCATCCTCACGGAGCTCTGCTGCAATGAACTCACCGCACGGGAAATCCACCACGCCAAAGGCTGCTTTTCTGCTTTTCTCCCCCAGGTGTTGTGTCCTCGCTCAAGGACACAGCGTAAAATAACTTGCTCCGAGGTGCTCTGTTCAAAGCTGTACATTGGTGACAGTCCTTGCCTTCTGCTCCAGCACTGCACAGGCATAAGTTTCAATAGATTCATGTTTTATTTGACTGATGGAAAATCCTGGCAGTAGCTGAAATAAAACCACAACACATCACTGAAATCAGTCCCTCAGTGGATGCTTCTTCAGGAACATGCTGACTGTGACAGGTTGGAACCACAAATGAGCAGGATGGAGAATATTACATCTCCAACATGAGCCAGCAACTTCAAGGACATCTGGAGGTAACAGAAAAGCCTGGTTAGCCTGCTGTTAGCTCTGCGGTGCTGCAGCACTGTGGCACTCCTGGGTGTGTTAGAAAAGAACATAACTGGAATTTATGATACTCTGTAAAAACACAGCAAGTTTTCACACTGTAATTTTAATGATTAAAAAAATAATTAAAAAGTTTAAGCACCTTGTGCTGCTTCTGGCTCCATGGGCTGATTGATTGATTCTTAGCAGACAACAGACTCTGTGCACAAAGTGCTCCATGTATGGGAGGAGATTTCAGCTCTGATGAACAGGAATGTAAAAGGGTTTCATTCCTTCACCTACCATAAATCTAACACTGCCTTAAATCTGGCCTTTCTGATCCCCAGGGTTGTTTGTAGACTTGCTCAGGCAGGGTACAGGGACACAGAATGAAGTCAGAAAGATGAACAACAGTTTAAAAGAACAAGTCATAAGATCAAATTCAGAGCTGTTTTCAACCAGTTCACATAAACTACACTCATCTACGGAAAAAGGATCAAGGAAGGCTGTCTGCATTACTGTGTTCAGCTCCCTCCCACTCCTGAGCTGGGTAAAGACATTTTGGCCATGATCAAGCTGATCAGGAAACTGGTGGCTCTTGAGCTTTTATCTTGCTGCTTCACCTCAGAGCACACACTGGCAGCAGGAAAGGCATTGAAGCCTTTACTGGTAAGAAACTCATGGGCAGTAAGTAGCTCTCAGCTGAGAAACCAAAAATAAAAGTCAATTGGTGCACATTGCACTCTGGTAAATTATAGGCAAAATAATCTGGGTTTTTTTGCAATTGAAATTTTCTACCAAAATTTTAAAAGCTTTCCTAAGATTTCAGGAGAACTCCCATTCCTGGTCACCTCTATTTTCAAGGCATCTGTAATGAGAAAGGCTTATCAATAGGTGAGGGAAGGAATGTCCTCCTTACTTGATAACCATGTCAGAACTCTCCTAGCTCCCACTCTCCTTCCTGCCTGCTGCTCCCAGGGGATCCACAGCTATGACACTCACCGGGCCTGCACCTGCAGCAATCCATGGGAACTCTGGGGACTGCTGGGATCTGGACCCAAACTGCAGAGGTAAAATGGTTCAGGGAACCAATCCCTTCTCCAAAATTATCAGAGCTCTGGCCCTTATCCTGTCCTCTTGGTCCTCAGTGAGGGCCCATGAGCAATGTGCTGGCCATGCAGAACAACAAAAGTGCAATCGCCCTCAGAAATCCCATTTCTGCACACAAAGGTGCCAAAAATTGTTTCTTTTGCAGGTAAGGCTTATTTCAATCTGCAGAAACACTTATTTTCTCACCCCTCCTTCTGAGGCAACAGAAGTTTTATGCATGCATCTGGTAGGAGAAGACTTCACCCCTCAACCCAGAGTTATTTTTCGATAAGAGGCAAAGAAGGGGGCAACTGATAAGCACTTGTGGATGTCCCCTCTAGAAGGACAGGCTCCTACTAGCTTGTGGTATCATCTGACAGCATGGATAGCACAGCTGAGAGAATAAAGCCCACAACACAGAGACATTTTTCTACAGAGCAAACACCACTGCTATGGTGCCCATGGGATGTGAAACACTCTGGTGGCTGTGCCTGGGCACCAGCAGGAAACAGAAAAAAGGAAGAGTGGAGCTTGTCTGGAGAGACTATTATGGCTACTTTGTCCAGACCATTGAATAGGTGGGTAAAGGACAGAGAAAAGGAGGGCACCCACACTCCTGGACTGTAATTTGGCAGCTCTCTAAAGTGACAAGCAAAATAAGCACCTTACAGAGAAGTGTACCTATAAGATCTGCTTGTGCTGCAGATGTCCCCATGTGGTCCCTAGGTCTGTGCAGGCAATTGTGTGAACTGTGTCACAGCCCACCTACAGATTGCCTCAACTGGGCTTGACCAACATTAAAGAAAAAGGCATCACTGCAACTAACTGTTGTCTGGGGCTCCTGAACATCCATTGCCTCAGGAAGAGGCATCCTCAAAATTTTAGAAGTCATATTAAAACCAGTTTTATTAATTTCACAATGATCACTGTAGCAGATAACACCCTCTCCACTTCATTGGGAAACCAGTGCTACGTACAAACTGATTTAACTCCACTGCCTTCAGTGGACTTGGCCCCAAATGGATTGTATGGCTGTAAAGACTGGATAGTTCCCACCCTGGACTGCTGGAGGTGATCATGGTCCCATTTTCCCAGGAAGAACCTGCTGGAAGAGTTGAGATCCTTGCTAGGAGCTCACTGCAGGCCAGGTGTTAGGTCAGTGTGGTCAGAAAAAAAATGAGAAGAAAACAGCACCTGATTGTCATCTGATAAAACCACAAATTAACATTTGCCCTCCTTTTCTTCATCCCTCAAAAAAAAAAACCAAACAAACCCCCAAAAAACAAACAAAAAGCCCCTACAACAATCCAGCCACACCCTCTAGCCACAGCAGGCTGGGGAAGGGGGAATAATTAATTAAAATCAAATGAAACATGCACAGGAAAAGTCACTTCTGGCTGGGTATCCACAACACTCTAAGATTCACAATGTTTATAGTGCAACTTCGTTTGACCTGTGGTTGAAGACCAGTCTCCATCACTTTGTGTAATCAAGTTCTGCCGATTCCTTTGAAAGTTGTGCAAGACAAGTTTCAGCAGAGGCTAAAATACCTTAGGAACCATTCAAGTAATTAGACAGTGGCACTGGTATGGCTGAACAGTCAGACGTGTCCAAAGAAACCAGACTCAAGCTGCCTTGTAAGTACCATTTGAATCTCTAATCAGTAAATGTCTGCTCTTTTTCCCTTTTAGTGTTCAGCAACACAGAGGAAATTCACTGAACAATTGGCCATAATTCCAGCACTGATCTGGAAAATACAAATATTTCATAGAAAATATTGATGTGTGATAACAACCCAAGCAGTCAGTGCCCAGGTGCAGGGCAGAAACTGCAGGGCATGGCCAGCCAGAGTTACAGAAACTGCTGGATTTGTGAACAAACTGATCAGCCCATTCTTTCATGAGATCTTTAAGCACCTCCTCCAGCACACTTGTGTGTTCAGAAGAATCATCCTCCCAAGTTAAATACAAAAATAGATCCTCCATCTTCATTCATTTAACACAGCTGACAGATGACTTCTGCTCTCCAGTTTGCTGTCCCGTGTTTTCAAGGAGGGGGAGGTAGCTTTAGATCCAACAGACTGTAGGCAAAAATATTCCAGAAGATGGCAAACAAGACAAAAATGACGTAAATAGAAAGGAAGATCCACCATAAAGTCTGATCTTGGAGTCTCTGCTCATAGTTCCTCAGGATGATAACACCAAGGGTGATTCCAACCATCACCCCTCCCAGGTGAGCCATGAAGCTGGGGTGGGGGCATGGGGGGTAAGCGGAGGGGTGGAATCGCAGCCACACGGCTCTTCCAAATTCAAAGCTCACTAGAACAAAGAATAAAAAATAAGTTAATTGTCTAGGTTTATCCCTTCTTAAGTCCATATTGTGGGAAGCACTGCATCCCTGAGGAGACAGAGAGGGACAAATTGCCTTGTATGGTGAGCACAGAGAAGCTGTGGCTATGTCAGGGTTGTGGCACACAGACATGAGGCCTCTCCAGTGGCTGGAAAGTGGTTGGGGTTTGTGAGAGTGTAGACAGGTTGGGGAATATTCACCTTCTGAAATTTACACCATAACAAAAAAGAGTTAGAATTTGAAGACAGCTGTCTGTGATGAACTCACAGCTTAGTTTCCCTTACTGTGTCCCCCCGGGGGTTGGGCTGCAAGAGAATTCACCAATGTGGGTATAATGCTGCTGCCATCCCAGACAGGACATGCTCTAGGAAACCCAAGTATTGTCATTATGAAAGCATTGCATGTTTGAGACTGCAAAGAGAAGATGTTTAAGCTCCTTCACAAACACCACAAGCTACAGATGCTGGCTAATGACAAATCCTTGTTTACAAATGCTTGCGTTGAAAGCCAAAATCTGCAGTGGAGAGCAATGTGATTTCTGCTGCCAGAAGGTCCAGCTGCAAGTTCCTACCAAAACTGCTGCAAAGTCAAAACCCTCTAAATCAGCATGAAGTATTATGACAAGGACAAACAAAACAGGACTGGCTGCTCGTGTGCCAAGCATTGTATGGTACTTACTACAGATCAAGGCAACAGCCATGCGCAGCAGCTTGAATTGGCACTTCATTCCTGACCAGTTCTGGAAAAGAGACAAGGAAAACAAAGTAATGCTGCACACAGACCTGAAGGGGTATTACATTTAAATGTGTCACTTGTCAGGCAGCTTCTCAGTGCATTCAAGCCCTGCTGTGTTTTCTCGATGCTACTTTCTGTGCCTCAGGCTCCCTGAAATTCTGCAGCTCAGATCTTTGGCAGAGCATAGAGAAACAATAAAGACTTCAATAAAAGCATATCAAGGAAACCTGGATTTAGTCTCCTCTGTCTTCAGGCTTGGTTATTAATCAATATAGTGGAATAAAAATCTCTGAATGATAATCAGTCACCATAGAGAAATATTAAAAGGCCTCCTTTTCCACTTGCGCATAATTTTAAAGCAGGAAAAGAAATCATGTTTTGAGAAACATGTTTATTAGACAACATTATTATTTTTTTATTATTACTATTATGTGACTAAATGAAAATTTGCCTGTTGAAGGCAGACTGAGATACCAAGATAATCAGGTTTCTTGTGAAAAGCTGCCTATTTGTCACACTGAGGAAATAAAAAGAATGCTTGTAAACTCTTCAGACTATCTCTAATGACACTAGGGATGGCAAAAAATGCAACCTCCACAAAACAAGTAACTGATTTTCTCTCTCCACAGAGAGATCTAACCCAGTCAGAAAGCTCTGAGCTCATGCTGATTAATACTGTGCTGCCTCCTTCACTTTTCATTCCCATGTAGCTGCTTTGAATCCCTCCCCTCACTCTTTTCCTTGGGGTGACATGCTTTATTGCTTCCCCCTGTTGGTTATTTTATGTATTTAATTCCAATAATATTTCTTTTTCCAAGCAGGAATGTTTCCATTTCCTTTGGTTACCAGGAGGCACAAGGGAACAGAAGATTCCAGAGACCCTCCCTGCCACAGTCCCTGCTGTCCCCAGCTGTGCCAGACTGAGCTGTGCCACAAACAGCCAGCACGCCTTTCAGCGTGCAGGAGCATCTCATCTAGATAACAAGTGAGCACAGAGAGACAAGGGGGGGAAGGAAAGCAAAAACATCCCTCCACCAGAACTGGAAAAGCAGCAAAAATAATTTCAGATGAGAAGAGAGGCAGTGGATAATGGAGAAATAAAGATGCTAAGGTAGCAACTGCTAAACAGATTTGGCAGAAGCCAATGAGTAGTGAAATGACAGATCACTTTGTGATGTTCTAAGAAGTCAGGGAAGGTAACTGCTGAAGACTCTCCACACGCCTCTGAACAGCCTGTTCCTCTAAAGCAGGCCAATATTTCCTCCAATGCCCCCCTCTAACCCTGTGAATTGTGGTGTTAAAAATCCCTGTGGCTGTGTTACCACCCTGAGAGACAGAGGAAGCTCCTTCCTGCTTTCCTTGGCACAGTGGCAGGGAACACAAATTACACTGAAAAGAACTGAAGGCAGGGATGCAATTCCCCAGCAGAAACCCTGTGCTGTAGGGGTATCCCCTCTCCTCTGCTCCCACCCTCTCTGCTAGCCACTCAGCTGTTAATTTGGACAGCAGCCTCAGCTCATTCATGCTCTGAAAATCTTGAAGAGGGTGAAGCAGACCAGTTCTGCTCAGGATATCTCTCACTTCCCAGCTGTTAAAAAGCTGTCTGGAGCAGCACCACTGTGGGTCACAGCTGGAGCTGATGACTTTACTGCAGACAAGCATCAAGTACAAGGTTTTCTTTCAGGCTTGGCTCCAACACCACCACACACACACATCTTCCAGCACCCATATAACAGATCTGTCTCTACTGCAGGCACCTCACATTATCTTCCCACTCAGACCCAGGAGAGGAGCATTATCCTCATTTTTATGGTTATTCTGCTCTGATATTGCTGGTACAGGACAGACATGCCACCACACATTAATCTTCTATCAGCAAAGCCTTTTTTTCCCAGTGTCAGCTGAGGAGTCCCCCAGGCAGCTGTGCTGGCCTTTGCCACCACCTAGCTGAGGGCTGGAGATGAACTCCTGTTTCCAACCTTAGAAGAAGGACAATGCTGGTATTTGCTCACCTTTGTAAAGTATTTCATGAGGTGAAATAGCAAAAAGATGCATCATTAGATCACCCAGGGTTCAGCTATAATCTGGGTTTTACAAATGGAGATAAAGAATATTCCGCACATGAATGCACTGAATGCTAAATTTCCTTAGATACCTAGTAAAATTACACAGCATATCCAGACAGGAACAGGTCTGCCACTTCTGCAGAGCCAGTCTGCTTTTCAAACATTTGTCAGCTATTGCATGGAGAGTTGATAGCCTGGAGAACACTGATAAATCTTGGATTACCAACATCTTTAGGTTGTCCTGGCAAACTGTCAGCCATCAGGGTACCAAGTCACCAAGTTCAAGGTAATTTTTCCATTCCAGAACCACACAACTGAGACAAGACTCTTAGCTGGGGCAAGCTCTGAATGACCAACAGCTGGGTAAGGCCTTACTTCCAGCCCCTTTGGGCCACCAGATGTGGCTCACTCTGAGGTCAGACAGTCACTCTGGTACTCACCATCACAATATTGGCCAGGTGAGCAGAGACAAGAGCATACACACCTCCAGAGGAGCCCACCACCGGCGCCCTCATGTCAGCCACTGACACTGCCAGGGACCCTGGGGGAAACAACAAGGCTTTGTGACAATTGCCCACCAAATAAACACACTCTCTCCTACCCTACATCCCTGCTGTGGCCTGTTTGTGCTAATTGCTGCAGGTCAGGAATACAGAAAGAGAAGGAGGGGGAAATTGATTGACTGGTGAAGCCAACTCAGTCCTGTCAAGGCAGTGACTGATTGATTCCTCTGCACCTACTTTAAAAGCAGCCAAGCAAGGCAGCAATGTGTCTTTAAACTTGTCCTGCAAAAAGGCATTTATTCCCTGACTGAAAGAATAAGGGAGCAGGAGACAGACAAATGTCTGTGTTTGTTTCTCACCTGAAGATAAAACAGAAGTAGCTCCCATGTTGGCAAGAAAAATATTATCACAGGGGGAAGGAGCTAGGGACTTGTAACTTAGCACAGGCCTCTGATCACAGCACAGCCTGTTACCTGTAAAACTTCAGAGTAAAACTAGTCAAAAATAGCCTGGATGGAGGCAGTAGGCACACGCCAGCAAAATGACAGGTCAAGTACATAAAGGCACCACTAATAATACAGCCAAACACAGACATTGCTTCTTCTTATCCCAGTTGGAGGCTTGGATCTGCTCAAAGCTCCTTTCATTGCTGACTTTAAGAATAATTTAAGCGATAGAGGGAAAGGCAGATTTGCTGTCACAAGGAAGGGATAATGAAGATCTTTGTGATGATTGGGAATGGGAAAAAGACATATTGGCAAATCTTGAGAGAGTCCTTGGTAGCGCAGAATCTAATGAACTTCTTTGCTAATTGCCCAACTGATTCCAGGTCAAGAAAGTGCTGAGCTTCCACCAGCCAACTCTGCTGATAGCTCCCTCCTTCCTTGTATGGCCCTGAGACTTCTCAGCTCTTAAACACTGCCATTAAGGAAAAAGTTAATGAGAAATAAAGGAAGAAGTAATAAGAACTTGCAGTTAAGTCCTCAGGCACTGCACTGAGCGCCTCAATTTCCATTCTTAATGTGTCCTCTTAGTAAAGCCAGACAAATGAGAAAGAACCATAAAAGTTGTGGCCTAACTACATTTTACATTTTACTACATTTTGTCTATTCCTGATTATTTAGCAGCTGAGTTATCTTTATATTATGTCAGCATCAATATACCCATTTTCCTCTCTCCTGGCACGTGACAAAGAATAAAAGATGTTTCATAACTAAGATATCAGTGAAGTCCTGTGTAGAAAAATCTGTGTAGAAAAGCTGTATCTGGGAAGTTGCAAACTGGGCACCACTTTTGTTAGTGTTTGTTAAAATAACAGTCAGGGGACAGCGGAGATGCTCTGCTAACTCCTTTCTTTGCATTAAATACTGTTGATGTTTGTACCATGCCTCGTCCTGTGCCCTAGTCCAATTATTCTTTCCACAGACTGTCTCCTGGAATGCAGGATTTATTAGTACCCAATGCAGCCCATTCTACAAAGGGTTTATCTGCTTATTATGGAAAAAAGTAATTATGTGGCTGGAAAAAAACCCAAACAAACACTATAAATCTTGAACAAAGGCAGTCAATCACTCTCTGAGTTCCACTATAAAGTTCTTGGTTGTTTTCACACCCTCCTTCTGTTTTAACTAGATGTTGATCTATTGTCAGCTTTCATCACCTCCAAACTGCTGGAAATTCCAAACATAAATAAAAGCAATTCAGCACAAACTAAAAATCAATCAGACCCCATGGCTTAATGATGAAATGAATTTTCCAGATTTCTGTGCACTGCTCACAATCAATCTACAACCAAATACTTCTTCCTTACTTAGGCTGTAGAAAGGTGAAAGACAGGACAAATGTAGGAAGAACTGCCACAGGACGAGCATGTCTCCACATTCAGGAAGATCATCTAAAGCAAGGCTATTTTAAATTAACAGGTAGTTGGTGCATTTTTAGCAGGTCTACTAAACACAGAGTCTATGGCTACATAGAAATAGATGTCAAGTTGTACCATATTTTCTATGTCCAGCCCCACAAAGGATTTCAATGCACAGAAGATCAGTGAATGATCCTCTCCTAATCCCAAATATCACAAAACATTTCTCCAACTCAAAAGCCAGCACAGACCATTTTCACTGCTTCTCCACCTGGGGCATGCAGAAGTGTCACCTACCTGCCACAACTCCTGCAACGTACACAAAACTGATCCTCGCAGCTCCGTGCACCATTTCCAGAGGAACCCCAACCAAGAGCTGAAGGACAACATTGAGCCCAAGGTGTTCTATCCTGCAGCAAGGAAAAACAACAGTTGTCCTCTTTTCCAGCTCTTCATCTCCTTTCTCTACCACTGAGACATAGATATTTTGGAAAGAAAATCCAAATAGCAGCCGATTCACATAAGTAGACTAACACTGGGAAAAACAGTGATTCCAGAAAAAAATCAGACCCAGAGTTACAATGTTTCTTCCCTCCTTTCTGCTTTTATCTTTTCTGTATCCACACAGGTGTTTTCAGCTAAAGACCTCGTACAATGTTTGATTCTTAGTCAGACTTTTTTTTCCTTTTTCCTTGCTTGAAAAAGTTAAATGACTTGTCAAAAAAAAAAAAAAAAAAAAAAAAAAAAAAAAAAAAAAAGAAGCAGCAAGATGGAAGCAGAGCCTGGAACAGAAGCCAGAAATTTGACCTGCTCCTCTCTTCTCCCCTCCTAGTGATTCCACTTTTCCCTGCACACATCACACTGCCATGATGGGAAGTGGATGTTAAGAATGAGGTGAATGTAGAAGTTCCAGGAGAACTCCATTTCCTGGTGCCATAATGCTGCTTCACAGCATGGCTGTCTGACCCTCACCCTTTTCTGCTGTGCCTACTTCAATGGTCAGAATGGGAAGCAGAGGGCTCAGGTGCCCAACTGTACTCACTGATGCTCTCTCTTCACCCACCCTTGTTCCCATTACAGTCAATAGCAAAACTCCTAAACTCCTGTTGAACACACAGGAAAAAGCTGGGCTGAGGGGACTCTTGCAGAAAGCCCCACTATCTCGCTGTGCAGGACCACTTGCAGCCTGCAGGCAGGTGTGACAGCTCACATGTGTACATTGGGCAGAGACTCCAGTGCAGCAGATTTCCCCTGAGCTGAATCAATAGCTTCAATGCAAGTTCTCTGTTGCTTTAACCAATACTACTCAACAAACCTCACCTGCCACTTTTCAAAGCTCTATACAGACATTCATCTGTAGGGTCTTCCAGTGAGGTAATACCAGCACCAGGCCCTGAACAGGATCCTCAACACTCTGCTAGTGTCTGAGATTTACCCTGGGTTCAGAGGACTGTGACCTCAATGAATGGTGACATCCCACTGGAGCCAAGGGTATCCTGCTTTTTGTATGAAGAGAACTTGCTTACAAAAGAGATGGATCTAAATGACACAGTGGCACCCTTAAGGCAGAAGGCCAGCATCTTTTGGGGAAAAGAGAGGAAAGTACCTAATGTCTTGAAAATATACATCCTATTTTATACAAGAAAAGGGTTGCTCACAGGCAGGCACTAGCAAACTTTGGTTTAAGTTATATGCATTTCCACTGTTTTGATCTTTTTCACGTTACCATAGCAATTTCCCATATACAGCAGAGAAAAACACTGATGGTGAGATTCAGTAATGACAGAACAGTCTCATAAATGAGAATTTAAAGTTGGACTGCAAAAAAGTGCCAGAAATGATACTGCAGAAAACAATCCTCTCCTGATAGCTTAATAAGTTTGTTTCCATTGAATTTCTCTCCAAAGATGAATTTCCCTCCTGCACAATACATTCCGCACTGCAATTTTTCATCATGGGAAACTGCTGCATGTAACTGAGTTCTTTCATTACCTTCCTCAAGCCCTTTGAAGCCACTGGGCATGGTCAGCACTTGCTCTGATCCCACATGCTCACAGAACACAGGGAATTAAATTAGGAAAAACCAGCAAAGGTCAAACCCAGATCACTGAGATGAGTCCAAACATCCAAGTGGCCTTTCACAGAGGGGAGGGAAGAAGCTTTGGCTGGCACACAGTCAACATCATGAGGTGGCACCTGACATTTCCACACAAAGCACTGGGTCTTATTTTCCAAAGGAAGCTTTTGTAAGAGCTCAGCAAAGTTTATCCTGGCTCTGAAGTGACTGCTCTGATTCACAGCTGTTCTTAGAAGACTTCCCAGGAGCAATCCCATTCACTTCTCTTCCCCATCACACTAAGAGCTTTGAAGGCACCAGAGTCAATAAGTACCCATAAAATATAATTACCCTTTGCCAGTGCTGAATGTGTCATTCTTGAAATGACAATTTCATTGATTTATTAAGGACTTTCTCCTTCCCTGGGACCAAACAAATGGGACTGAGCATCAATGCAAGTCATTAGTTATGGCAGTGATACAAATGTGTGGGCTTCAGATATCAACGTCTGCTTTCCATAAAAACAGAAGGGCAGAATTTACAACTTTGCCTTTTCAGCCCTTGACAAAGCTCCCTCCATCAGAACCAACACACAGCCTGTACATTTTTGGAATCTTTCTAGAGGCACAGCCAGCCAAGCCTTAGCAACTGCTGCCTTCTCAAACACCTTGCGGCTGCCACTTGCTCTTCAAAAAAAAAGACCGAGTGCACTAAATTAAGGAGCAGTCCACATTACCATTTAAAAGTCTCAGCTGGAAGCAGGGTAACAATAGACCCATGGCATTGTGTTATCCTCTCATTTGAAAAGAGAGGAGAATGATGGGCGTCCACTAAAAAACAGTATTACCTTCCCAAGATTTATCTGTTTTCCTCACAAGAAAGGAACTTAATACAGAGAAGTTAGAAATAAAGGGACATTTAGCTTAACTCCAGACACTGCAGATAAATCACAAGGTTTATTGCTCCAGTGGGACTCTCCATTGTTTTAAAGGCTGTGTAGCTAAAGGACTTGGAATCCATCATGACAAGTCCCCTGCTCACCACCTTCCATTGTTCCACTCTGAGTCACCCAGAGGTGAAATAAACCTGAGAGATTTTTTGGCCAGTGAGTGTGAAGAATGCCAGGGAACTGCCTGCTACAAGGGTGATCTGGCACAGGTTAGGAAAGCATGCCACAGAAAGGCACTTAATGCTGGAAAATTGTCCTTGTGCAGGTGTTTCTCCTCCAATGTATCCTAGAGCAATCTGTAGTTATAGACGCGATATGGTAAAACACCACCACCACCAAAAGAAAGCCCAAATACAAATTAACTAACATTAGTTAAAATCAAGTGTTTCTTTCTTTTACAAGCCACATTTTCCCCATATTTTCAGTGATGGAACTTTCCACTTCCCATTTTAGGTAACCAGCCTCATGTCTAAGCCCAGTAGTCCCCACTTGCAGGATGAAATCTATGTCATATTGGCTCTTTGGAGGGATTCAGCATGCAGAGGACAGAGGTTGCCACATTCAGAAGTTTCTTCTAAAAACTTTTCCCTACTCTTCCCTTGGGTGCAGTCTGTTTTTATCCAGGGATCTGGGGCACATCTTCTGCTCCAGGGCAATTACACACCAAGGAAGTTATTCCATTGCAGGAAAGAGACATCAGTATGTCTTCCATCAGAGACATGGAAAAAAAGGCAAAGATCAACTTGATCTTTCAGGCCTTTCATAGAAGAACATTGACTGATGGAAATATAGGCTTTCTATTTAAGAACAAAGAGTCCTTATGCAGTTTCAAACTCTACACTACTGCTGAAAGGCTTGTTGCTGTCATTTTTCAATGACAGAATTAAAGAAAATTGCAATTATCTGCCAGGAATGTGTGAAGATAATGATCTGAGGAACTGCTCAGAGGGGGTAGAATGTTTTGTACAGGGATGAACTTTCCAGTGACACTTACTCATCACCATGGCATCACAAACATCACACAATTAAATCTACTTAAATTTTGTGAGGACTAGCACAGCCGAGAAGAACAGAGTTAGAATCCCCACACCTTGTATATTCTTCCAAAGTCTGTTACCTACCTCCCATGGGATGAAGGAGGATTCATTTTATTGTGCATCTTCATTTTGTATGGACACCATTCTGTGTCCATAGTATGTACAAAGTGGGAGTTCAGGCTTGACACAGCCTTCTAGGCATTAGCTCAGTCCTTACAGAAGGAACCAACATTACTGAGTGATGCCATATCCCAGACACAGGGAATTTAACTGACTTTTCCAAAACCCTGTATTTTTAACTACCAGTCCAACATATTTGCAGACTTGTTCTACCACCTGCACAGCTCCTTTAGTGGAACACTGGGCTTTGACCTAGTTTTAGGAAGTGCACAGTAGGAAGAAAGTGTGGTCCCAAAACTGCTGGGGAGAAGAGCAGCATCTGTTAAGCTCCTTTTGTTGCCTTGTCCCTTCAGAGAGCTGTGAAGGTTTGCACCTCATTGCCCAACAGTCCACAACATCTTCATATTTTTGCACATAATTTATAATTGAGTATTTAAAATCTAATTCTGAGCTGATTCTGTCACTTTCTCTATCTCTCAGGGGAACCTGAACTGTTTGTAAGTACTCACCCTGCATGCATGAATATGTAGGTTAGGTACCTCCAAGCCTGGGCCCGAAGCTGGGGATGGTACAGTAACGCATTCTTCAGGTACAAGGGGTGGCTGACTTGCAGCACAAATCTGTCTAAGACCACTCCGTTATAAAGAAAAAAGGCAACCTAGAAGAGCAGAGATATTCATTGGTTAGCAAATGCCTTTTCTCACCAAAAACTACCTTTTACCTAAAATAAAGGAGAAAAAGGTAACATATAAAAAACTTTTCTCCCATTTGACAGCTTCACACAGCATGAAAATTCCCTGTTTTGAGGAACCTGCAACACATTGATATAACTGTATTTGTGACCTTCTGTAACACACCAGCCCCTGAGTCAGAGGAACCTGCTCCCAGTCAGCACCCTACTATCAGTGTCATATCCTACTCTGTACTTTCTTGAGCACATTACTCAGCAAATGTGCAAAGATCTCATTTGGGCAACACATGAGCAGGTCAGAATATTTAACCCAGAGGTTCTCTCCCCTGCTTTTTCTCTCCACTCACAGAACAGAGGTAGCCATACAGAAATTTCTAATTCTATTGACGTATCCATTTCTCTAGAACTGTCTTGTTTTCACTCCTCAAACAGTTTTGCTCTCATTTCCCAAACTGTGTAGTCCCATATACGAATTGTTCCAATGACAGCATCACAGTCTCCACTTAAAACACACTCCAACAGGCAACAAAAATGGCCACCAGCTTCACATCTGTCCTTGTCCAGGCCTGAATGAATCCCTCTCCAACCCCTGATTGCGTCCCAGCAGAGCCTTTGGCAGTGTGGGGAGGTTCCCAGGGAGGGTACTTGCCTCTACAATAGTGATGGTGATCATGAACCAGGGCGGGGGGCAGCAGGTGTAGCTGTCATAGTACCACTTGCGGTCGATCTCCCGCGGGAGGGTCTCGTACGCCACGTGCCGGATCAGCCTCTGCGAGAGGCTCAGCCCCGTCTCCTCCAGCAGGGCCTTGCTGCACAGCCTCCTGTTCCCCTGCAGGATGGCTTGGCGGAAACTGTTCGACCTTTTGTTGCTCATCTGAGGAAAAGGGAATGGAAGAAACCATGAGTACAAAGCAAGGCCTGGCACAATCATCAGGGAAATAGTGTCAGTTTGGCAGCACCAGATGCAGGCAGGCAGGAAAGCCACCACCAGGCTGAGCTTTAGGAACCAAGTCTCGGGACAATGACAGGGTGCACTGAAAACTTGGGGCGCAAGGAAAACAAGTACCATGGCCTGCCATTATGATGCCAATAGGTCAAGGCAGAACTCTGGCAAGGCAGAGCAGAGGCTGCTGATGCACCTGGCTGAGCTCTATGGCCCATTCTCCAGCCTTCCATGCACCCTCTTCACCATCAGTTATCACAATCCATATTTCTGTGTCCTTCCCTCTGATGCCTCTGCTCTATCAAACTTCCCTGCAGTCTTGGGGCAGGAAATTTCTCAAATGTAGCAGCAGACACTTTCACAGCACATCTAACCCTTGTGGCAGGAGTTAGCTCTGGGCAAAGAAAATTATCTCTTTGTGTAAAACAAAACTGCCTGAGCAACAGCAACAAACAATAAATTAATCGGCTGTACAGGCTGTCTTAGCTCCTGTAAGCTTGCAAGCCTTTCCAAGGCTTCTTTCATAAGTTATCCTCAGAGGGGCAGGCTTAGAGATGGCACAGGCTTACAGCTAATTTGTATATGCATTATCACCTTACATGCATAGATTTAGCTATCTTTTTGAGCATACACTTTACCAGTTTGGATGCATAATTAAAGCAATTGCATTTGCAAATTAGGCAGATGGAATCTTATGCTTAGCCTTCTGGGGGTGGGGGAACAAACCAGGTCTGAAAGAGCTTGCTCCAAGATTTGTATAATTGTTAATTAGCCCTGATGTCAAACAAACCTGCTGCATGAGAGCCACTGTCTGGCTGAATCTTTGGCAGGGAGCTCCAAAGCCTCGCTGTGTACACAGGCTGCTGCAGGGGGACCTTCCACTGTAACAGGCAGCAAAGCAAACACGACAGCCTGGTCCTTCTTTTGAGAGAGCTGCTAACTGCTCTCAAACCACCGGCACATCCAGCCTCCCAGAACCAAGAAGAGATGACACTCAACAGCAGTGGCTTCCAGTTGTCTTGGATGCTGCTGGTTTCAGCTGATATCCCAAAGCTAGCAAAGCCCAGAGGTTATGCTCTCAGTGCCCAGGCAGTCAGGGAATTGCTCCAAGCTGGACCAAGCTGCTTAAATACAGTAATCACTGCAGGGAGCCACCTCCTGTTAATCACTGGAGGAAGGCAAGGGGCCATCTGAGGTGATGGCACTGTGACCCATTCTGTCCCTCCTTAGCCTTCATTTGTAGCCTGTCCCTCCAAAACAGAGGAGCACTGACCATCAATTGATGTTATATTTTTTTTAAACTGATGAAAAAGTTGTTGTTGTTGTTCTCTTTGAGTTGTTTCAGTGAGAAGATATTTTACCCTAACAACTCTCTCCATTTTGGTATTTCTCCTTTGCTCCCTCTTTCATCCGTTGATTCAGAAAACACTTGTAATAAAACATTTCTTGTAAAAAAAGCAGAAAAACAAAGAAGAAAAAAAAGTCCACAAAGTCTCTCTCTCAGTCTTCTCATGTCTATCATCCAAAGGCCTGTATCTAAAACTAGGGAAGCTGAGGGGGAAAAAATCGTTGTGGTCCTCTGTTGCATTAAGAAAGCCTGCTCATACTGAAAGATAATATTTTCATAGAGAAACAGGTACAAGGCTTTTCTTAGCACGTGTGAGATGCCTTTTGCTAGGTAAGAGATGTACCTCTGTTTCAAAGACACTTTTAGCCACCTAATGACCTCTCTATGTCCACAGAAGAAAGCTTCATTCCAGGTTAGTTCAGAACAGCCTTTCAGAGATGCTCTGCATGTGCTCCCTCACAAAGTTCATACTTTTCTCTCTGGCTTTGCCCCTCTTATGGGCAAGAATAAATTCAGACTGAAACTATAAAATTGCCTGAAGATACCAGACAGTTGACTGGAGCTGCTGATGTGTTTATTCCAATTACAGCGATAAATGGGATTTTCCTGCCTACCACAAAACAGTCAGTGCTTTTCCCTCCTGCAGCACTTCAGTGGAAAAGATAATAATTTCCAGAGTCAAGGAAAATTGTCATTTCAGTTCAGCATCAAGAAGTGCTGGCCACCCTCAGTAGATGATCACCGCATCAGTGCAGAGATTGCCAAGGGAGATGGGCAGGAAACTCCAAAGGCTGCTGATGTCCATGGTTAGGATCCTAACAAAGATTTCCTTGCATCTGTTGAGCAGAGTATCCTAAGGGAGGCACCCCTGGACTCGTCTGTTACTGTTACAAGGGACTGGTTCAGTTCAGTCACCTGAACTCAGCACAGCCCCATCAGCCCAGTGTTCTCTCTGTAATAATGCTTGTGCTGCCCATGGAGCCCAGAAAACAGCCAGGGCACTGCAAATTCATCACCATGATGCTTCTGAAGATGTTCCTTAATGTACTAAAAAAAAACAAAACAGGGAAACATCTTCTCAGATTTAAGAGCAAAATATTGCAGGATCACTGTAAGTCATAGCTCAGATGACCAAAGCTCCACTGGCTCTTGTGAGGAGGTGGGAAACTGGACTACTGTTCAGCAGAAAGCTCTGCCTTCCTCCTTCCAGAGAGGAAGATAAATCACAGGACCTTTCACACCCCACACAGAAGCTAACATGAAAGACACATGAAAGTATTTGCCAGACCCTCTTTAGAGCAGAGGATATGGAGAGAAGGTCCAGGTTCCCTCTGCATGCTGCAGCCTTGGCATGGTTTTACACCCCGATGAGGCAGGAACAGTGTCAGGAGTGCGCCAGATGTGCAGAAAAGCCCCCACAATCCCTCAAGATGTGGATGAATGGATGTACTGAGCCCTTGTTAAAATCAGGCCTCTTGGGAAGGAGGCATCCTGCTGGTCCCCACCTGCACGCACTGCCCACGGCACCAAGGAGGAGATGATCTTCAAAGAGACAGCACAGCTGACTGCCAGGGCTCTAGCAAACACAGCAATCCTGGCCCTACTCACATGACCCCAGAGGCCTTTGGATCAAGCTAGGAGGAGATGGGCATGAGGAGAGACAGAGGATTAAGTCAGTATTGCTGCCCTCACCAACTCTTGATGAGAAATCTGTTCTGTTCCTCAGACTGACTTTGGAAGATTCAAATCTTCCCAAACAGAGTCTCGCATATGGTCACAATTTGCTGACTGGATTTTGGAATTACATAATATTGGTATTTATGAGCCAACTATTTAATCATCAGCTGCAAGAACACTAGGCCCATTGTTGGCCTGCACATTATCATGGCTCCAGGAGCCCAGGGCAGCCCACCCCACTTCTCTTCACGCAATCGATCTAGGACTTCTTTAATGAGCATGATATTAAAGCTGCAAGCAGATGGGTACAGCAAACAGGATGTGGAGAGAGAAGATAGCAGTGGGGAACAACACATTCCCTTAGTCCTTCCTGCCTACAAAATGGTATTGTGCAGAAAGAAATTTCCCTTGCAGAAGAGCCAGGCTGAGCTGACCGGTACCCAGGTCCTCTCAGCTCTGCCCTTTGGTATCACCCCACCAAAACAAACCAAGGCTTAGTGCTAGAGCTCTGCTCAAGGGCTGGGTTTGATACCTCTGTGCAAATGGAAAATTTTTTCCTACTTTGATCTGAACCTGTCTTCAACACTAAAAACGTCAACATTTAGGATGTCAAGAGTAGAACAGTGACAAACTTTGATGAAGTACAAAGCCCTGCTTTTGTTTAGCACACACAGCACTCTAAATTACTCTGGGATAATCTGGAACTTGCAAAGGAAGTTGTCCATCTCCACTGGCAGACCAATTTCTCTGTGTTCCTTGGATATCTGTAGTATTGTGGCTACCTCAGATGATCAATAGCCAATTCATGTGGTATTTCCCCCATCTCCAATTTCAGGGCTTGTATGGGGCACAGTACCCTTTTTATGGTTTTATTCAGCCTCACTCAGAAGGTTTTGAAAAACATGGGTTTCTGCCGATTACGTATTGGCATCTTTGAGACTGGTCTCGAGCTATTTTTAAACACATGCAGCTCTGTGACAGGCAATGCATTCAGCTCTCCAGCTCTGATCCTCCAAGACAGAGAACATTAAATCAGAAGTTAGCACAAGCTTTTTAAAAGCCTCTGCCAGCTCCAGTTTTATAACCCACTTTACTTACAAATGCAACCTCTCCAATCAATTTTGCTTTCAAGATTCACATTTATTTCCTTCCCTCTGCCACACTTCTACAAAATGCTAATGTGGGTAGAGACAGCTTTTCCCAAAATGCATATCTCAGCATTAAGTTCATCTCTCACAGATGTTCACATCCTCTAAGCCAACCTGGTAGCACTTTCCCAAATAGTAACAAAGGGAAAAAACCTGAATACCAAATACCAACATTCTGATCTGGTTTGATCAAGCAGTGTTTACTTGAGGGATTCAAAGAAAGAGGCAGGAGAGACAAAATAAATTATCCCTGCTCAAGTTTTTGTCTGATTCCTACTAAATGTGCCAGGCTTAGGCCTTCCAGCACTTCCAATAGAAAAGGTAAAACACTTTCAAATTTCAAGGTGACTTGAAAGAACATTGCTTGCAGGACAAGACTAACATTGTGGTTCAAATAACACATTACACAGTGCTTCAAAACTGTGTGTTGTTCACATTAAAAATAAGGTAGAATTAGCTTGTCCCTAGAAGCCAGCAAGGCCAGGGAAAGCAAAGTGGTGATTCTTGATCTGGAAAACAAAGGATGTGCATTTAATTAGTTAATATATTTTGCTAATTGCTGAGATGTTACATCAACTTCAAGTAACTACAAAGTCACAGCTAAATATTTCTGTTGGAAGCAGCAGTGTTTTGTTTTTCCCAAGTCACAAGAACTCTGTCTTAGAGCTTACTACTTACTGCAAGCTCTATTACAGTTCACAGAATATTATCAGAAGTAATCCAGGACTGCCAACAGCAACTGCTGTACAGCAAGAACCCCAGCAAATAGCATCTCAAGTATAATTAACTCCTGGCTTGTCTCTTCTCTAAAAGTTGCAAAGTTAGTTAAACACCTTGGTTCATTATCTCCTCCTGTGGCCCATGCTGTTCATAGCCAGAATTTTCTCTGTGCATCTCTTTTCACAATGCTGCAAAGCAGCCAGAGAGCAGAGATGCACAAGATGTCTCCACTTGTACAGGAAATACTTTTGTTACTCTGCACTGTCTCAGATGCAACATAAGAAATCCCATTTGAAACTTTCTGCCATGACTACAAATCACAATGCAGAAACAGAAATGGATATGATTGCAGCATTGTGTTTTACAACTACACGAGCTGAATTTCATACACACGGAGGAGAAGTAATTTCCAATGAGTTGCCTATCTGATCTTTTTGAGCCTTTTCTGTTTGCAGATCACGCCAGGAGTTTTCATCTTCCTTAAATTTATTAATTTCTCTATTTATTTCCTGAGTGCTTCCTGGGGTCTAGTCTCATATTTTAAAATTTCCAATTTCATAAATTTAAGTTGCTTTGCTGAGAGCAGGTATATGCATGGATGTATTAAGGTTATTAAGGTGAGAAGTCCTATAATTACATTTTTGATGTATCTGGAAGTTCACAAAACATTCTGAACATCAGCGGATAACATAGCTTTGCTCAATAGCAGTCCTTTAGCTGGGAATCACAGTGCCTGAGAGAGCAGGCAGAGTTCTTGGTGCTCATAATGATGCTGGAGAAAGGGAAAATCATACATAAAGAAAGCCTTGCTTGTGAAGCCTCTGGTTTAGTGAAAGGTCAGCCTTTCCATCCCCACACCCAGCACCATCATTTTTGGCAGCAGGTCAGTTCTTGCTAAGCTACTGAAACAGACAAATTAACCTGAGCGTAAAGCAGAAAGGGCTAATGATCGTCATGCACAAACATGCACTTAAACACCACCACACCGAGGATTGACAGCTAGGAGGTGAAGGAAATCCCTAATTTCACAGTGATTCTGTATAAACTGTGCTGCTTCGTTCCATCAGGAAGTTCAAAAGAAAGTTCAGAAGGCAGAGAAAAGAGAAGGAGCCCTAAAAAAAGTTTGGATGTTGGAAATCAATAGAAACTAGAGGATAAGTGAGAAGAGAGATGTCATTTGTAAGTAGTTTAATGTTTTGGCATTTGCGTTGCCTATTGATTAGAAAGTGCAAAAAATGCAGACAAGGAGAGAGGGGCTGGTGACAGGAAAATCAATGTCTTCTTTATAGGAGTCATTCAATAGTAGTGAAGGAAATTTGCTGTTTTGCAGAAACCACATCACCTGGGTGTGAGCTGGCACAGCCTCTATTCCCGAAGGAGGAGAATGTCCAAGCATTTCAGCTCCCACCTACCTCTCATTAGTGTGTGCTGCTCCTGAGCCCTGTGGAGCGAGGAGAGAGAAAAAGCCCAGTTCTATTCCTGAGCCTGTTGCCAATGTGTTGGCTGGCCCTAGGCCATCATTTCTGTAAAAGAAATTCGATGATGCCTCTTCCTGCTACCTAAGGGTTGTGCAGCCCAATTAGTGAACGCTTGCACAGTACTTTGAATATCCCCAACTGTGGAACAAGCAGCTGTTACTATAAATACTCTGCTGAGCACTGAGGACCACACTGTTTGTTATGCTGGAGCTGAGGAAAACCTCACATTGTGTAATCTGTTTAAGAGTTGCTGCTTTTATTCTACTGTGTACCTAGACAAGGGGCTTACAAGACTGCCTGGTTAGATACAGCAGGTCTGTGTCATTCCAACAAAGTAACTTCACCTTGACACTGCCCACAGCCTGATGGAGGTCATGACCTGGGTCCTTGACAGCTGGGCCATGTTATCATACTTTTCTGATTAATGTGAAAACAGGACATATACAAGACTCTTTCTAAACCAAGGACACGTGCATGAGTGACCATGACAAATGAAGGGATCAAATCCCCACATTGTCTGCAGAACACACAGAGATACAAATTACTGTACGCAGCAACAAGGACACATCCAGCTTTCCACAGAAACCTCAGACATGTCACCAACTTCCATTCCCCTTCGACTTTGTCACCCAGGCTTATATTAATATTGCACTAAATCTGGGATTCAGGTGTTCAATGACAGAGTAAGAACAAGGCAAAACCTCTGAATGGCCAATGTCCAAGATATCTTGCAAACAACATTTCTAAGCCATCCTGGGCACCTGACAACACATGTCTACAATTGTGTTGACTCAACAAACTGCCTTGACAAGAAACAGAGCAATCCCTTCACTAATTGACTCAGTAGAGATAGAGAGGCATCCAGATCATGACTCATGCACTCTGAGACACCTCACCTGGGATAAAATGAACGTGACCTAGAAACATTTTATCCTTGTTGCTGTTGATGCCTACAGCAGTGCAATATGACTCCACCTAGCATGTCAACACAACGTTATCTATATATTTTTGTCTGGAAGTGGTGAAATCTCTAGATAAAACAGGAGACATCCAGACTGACAGACCTCTGCTTGCAAACAAATGGCTCATTATAGCAGCTAGCAACTGATACTGAGAGCAAAAACTTCCAAAGTAGCAGCAGCCATTGCTTCATGATATTACTACAGTTCCCACAATTCCTTCCCATGCAAATTTGTTTCCCTGGAAAAATCAGAAGCAATTTGACTCTTGCTGAAGCAAGTCCATGCAGAATATGATGCAGCAAACACTGGTGTTAATAAAGGGAGGGGAAGAGACACTGTCCTTCAACAGCCCATGTTTTAAGCAGAGCCAAGGTCTGACAGCCCTGCCAGCCAGAGCACTCACCAGGTTGACGAAGTCCTGGTAGCAGATCCTCCCCTCAGAGTTGCTGTCTGCCAGGGCTAGCAGGACCTCCAGCTTGTGGGGGTCCAGCTCCGAGCCGTGCCTCTGGAGAAGGGAGCGGAACTTCTCAGTGCTGATGTAGCCAGTGTTGTCAGGATCAAACTGGGATAGGAGGGGAGAGTGCCACAATTAACAAGCCCAAGTTACACACAACTCTGTCCTATGCATTCATCACCCACTGCAGACCCACAGGGACACAGGGGCTGCTCTAGGCTTTGGTGACACTGCCCTGCAATCACCCAGGGACTGGAAAGCACCCTGCTGCAGAGAGGGGTGAGTCCAGGCACCATCACCCACACCACCATTCCATCTCCACCCAAGCTCCAGCTACATCAGCTCCCTTCACCTTCCCACCCTCTGCATCATTATTTCGCTTGTCTATATTTTATGTCTCTTTCTATCTGGAACATCAAGCAATCCAGAAATGTGGTTTGTGAGATAAAATGCACTGAAAAGGAGGAACTCCTCTATTTCCTAACACAATTGCACCACAGGAGTATGCCACCCCTCCTCAAGCCCCTTCCATGCTCAGTGTTTCTGACAGTCACCTTTCCAGATCATCTCTACAGATGCCTTCACTATGGTAAGTGTTTTCACTGCTGAAGAGCTATTTTAAGTTGGCAAAGAAAATCTTTGGACAGGAAGCAAAGCAGATGAACACCATGTCAAACTAAAAGTGACAAAGCAGCCACATGCCATTTTGAGAATGCAAACCAGTCATTAGAAGGAAAGTCCCAGGTGAGACCTGGAGTGAATCCCACTCTGACTAAAAACTTCGCTGTTTTCCCTGAGCCTAAGTGGCTAATCTAGAAATGCCACTGATGAAAAGAGACACCTTTACAAGGCTGTCCAAACTAATGACTGTTCCAGTGGCCTCTAGGGCACTCTGTGAGGGGCTGCCAGCTCACAGGGCACAGCCTCAGCCCTGACAAAGCCAGTGCTGGCACCACGCCGAGCACCTTTCTGATTTGCTTGGAAAACTAGTGGCTGCAAGCTGCCAGACCAGTCTGCACTAGCCCTGGTGCAGTTTGATCTCTACCAGTTCTCTGTTGCTGGGAGATTTTGCCTTTGATTTCCCAAACTTGGCTGTGAGGACCCTGGTGCTCGCTGGCATCCTTTTGTAGATAATGATATCAAGCTTGTTGGCTGGATTGAACGGCTGTCAGGGGGCAGGGTGGTCAGAAGGGAGTCTTTTCATGGAAACATTTGGGACATAATAGGCCTTGGCAGAGCCAAAAAGGTCCTATCAATCCTTACTCTTTCCTAATGGAGGATGAAAGTTGAACAGGAGCTGGGCCTTCGATCAGTCACAGTGGAGTGAAATGCCTTGGCAAGGGATGGGATAGGAAGGAGGATGTGGCAGAGGATGCAGCCTGCCAGCAGCAGGGCTGGCATGGCTCTGCAGTGAGCAGAGCAGCTATAAAACAGACCAGCCTCAGGCATGGGCTGCTTGTTTAGAAGATGTAGTGCCCATGTGTGAGGATCTGGCTCCATCTCCTTCTGGCCTGAACACCTTTGTCCCACTGCTCTGCTCTCCCCAGCTGCTTGGCTGAGGAGGAGCTGTCTAACCTGAGCAGGGGAGGTCACAGCTCCTTGCTGAAGTAGGACTATCTACCTTTGGTCAAAGCAGCAGCCCCTCTGTGAAGAAACTGCTGGAGAGTACACAAAACAAGATAAACTGAGTGACCTGCAGACAGTCAGAGCTGGGCACTCTCTCCTGTTCTCTGCCAAAGGTTGTCCTGCCCTTGTGAGGTGGCCTGAATGTACCTCCCTGACAGATGGCACCCAGAGCCAAAGGTGGATTTCATCAGCTGTTTACTGTTAAACAAAGGCTTAATATTAATCCCTGGAGAAGTTTAGCTCCCCTACTCCGGCCCACTCTGATGCTTTGAGTTAACAGATCAAACTCTAAAACCAACCCCAAAAGTCAGGGCTTCTGCACTCAGGCTCAGCTCTGAAGAGTTTTGGCTCTTGCTGTGACTCTCAGGCCAGCCTGTTTGTGGTGCCCAATCCCAGACACACATACCCAGGAAATAAAGTATTATTAGCACAATACCTGGGATGACCTTTCTCAAGGGGAATTTGTAGGAGCTGTGAGATGAGTCATTCAGTGAATGGATCTAAGACCTGCAAGCCCATAGATACTGCTCTGTTCATCCCTGTTTCTCAAAAATATTTGACTTAACCAACATCTTACTTAACTGTACCACTTTAACTGTATCTTGATATTTAAAATGTCAGAACCTAGCTTGTCTAGGATATAACCATTTGCTCCTTGAAGGTTTAATTACCTCTCTACTTTGAGGGCCAGAGTCAGCACTCAAAGTATGGGACTTTCCCCATGCTGTGTGGTCGCTGACTTTGTAGGAAGACCAAGGGCTGCAGACCCAGGGAACATGGCTATTCCTTCAAAGGGCAGATGAGATACAGAGCTGAAGCACACAGGCCTCCAGAGAACAAAAGAGCTGCTGAGATCACAAATCACTTTTCCCAGATTTTGTTCTGCTTTCAAGCCTTCCAAAAAGAAGCATTTTGTAACCAAGAACAGAAATTACACAATGGCTTCAGAGCTTCAACCCAGCCCACAAGGACACCCTAATGACTTCAGACTCACTAGTGCTGGAGCTGATACATCCTGTCACTCAGGATGTTGCTGTTACTGGCTGCTGGCTTCCAAAGGCACAGCTGAAGCTGTAGCTGTCTGGTGCTACGAGTGAATCTGCTTCTTTCTCACACTAATAGGCACCAGCATTCCTCCTTCAGCTCACTGAAGTCTTGCTGTTTGCTCCACAAAAACCAAAACAGTGGCAGAAGGTAGCTGGTGTTTTCTGTAGTGTAATTTGGCTATCGAGTCTCTTCTCCTCTTCCATGTAATTATATATAATTATTTTTTGGCATCATGTTAATGATAATAATTAGAAATAAGTGTGAAGTAAAACAATGGATCTGAACAATGTGAGAGTAAGAGATGAACAATGAACAACTGACATCTGAATGCAAATATCTCAGAGCAGGGCCAAAGCACAGGCTCCGCAACCTGGAGCAGAATGCTTTACTGTCGACCCCAGCTGTAAGGAAGTCCTCTTATTTATGTTGAAACAATTTTTAATTGTACAATTGTACAATATTTCTCTATAAAAAGCATATAAAAATTTCATTTGTCACCACTCAAAATCCATACCAATACTTCAAACTGCTTCAAATCCTGTTTCTGATATCACAGCTATCCACAAAAATCAAGGGGTTGAGCAGATCCTGCATATCCTGTGTCTCTACACATGGCAAATCGTAGAATCACAGAATGTGCTGAGTTAGAATGGACTCACCACTAGGATCGAGTCCTCCATGCTCCATCCAGCTCCTAGATCTATGCAGGACAGCCCAAGAATCCCATCATGTGCCCAGGAAGGTTGTCCAAACGTTTCTTGAACTCAGACAGGCTCGGTACTATGACCACAGCCCTGGGGAGCCTGTTCCAGCACACAGCCACCCTTGGATACTCAACCTAGACCTCTCCCTGACACAGCTCTAGCTGTTTCCTTGAGTCCTGTCGCTGGTCACAAGAGCAAAGACATCAGAACCTGCCCCTCATGAGGATGTTGAAGACCACAGTGAGGTCCCTCCTTAGTCTCCTCTTCCCCAGGCCAAACAAACCAAGTGACCTCAGCCACTCCTCACACAGCTTCCCCTCAAGACCCTGCATCATCCTCGTGGCCCCCTTTGGACACTCTCTAACAGCTTCATGTCTTTTTCATAATATGGTGCCCAAAACTACACACAGCAGTCCAGGTGATGCTGCACCAGTGCACAAACGTGTGACAGCAGACTCAAAACACTCAGCTCCATCAATTATAAAAGAGGCAACTGACCTTTGCTAGCTGCTTCATGCATTTATCCATGAGGATCTCCTTCGGGGCCAATTGTCCCACAAGCCCAGCCGAGCATCAGGGTTTCACCCGAGGACCGACAGTGCCTGGAGGCAGCAGCAGGGCCGTGCTCAGCCCGGCTCCAGCCCCACGGGGAGCAAAGCTCCCACAGCACAGGCACCACGGAGCCTTCCCTCAGCGCAGCTCCTTCTGCCTGCCCACGATCTCGGGCAGCCAAGTGATCAGGGATGAGGAAGCCGTTTGCCCCCCCCGCCCCCAGACAATAGGACACTAACGGCAATTTCATGCAAGGTTTCATCCGCATTTCAATGACAATCACCCTTAACTGCCTTGATCCTCAACGCGGCTCTTAAGCAAAAATGTAAATATGTTAATGACCGTAGCAGCCATCTGACCCAGGATCTTAATTCCCTGGCCCAAAACAATCTGGTTTTCTCCTGTTTCTTCCTTATATTAAAGGAGACACACCACAAACTAAAGGTCCCCCAGCAAAACTACACGACAGACAAAAAGTAAGGTGAGGGGGCGAAAATGTGACGAAAATAGGAAATTCAGTTGAGGAAAGAAAATGAAATCTCAAATTGTTCCTCTTCTTTAATTACAGACACATCAGCCACGGCTGAGTGAGCAAGTAGGGTGGAGGCTGGTGCTGCAGACAGACAATGAGTATCTTGGGGGAACTCAGACATTTCAGAGCGCAGCCAGCTGCTCCTCTCCCCACGGCAAACAGCCCTCAGGGGCACTGGGGCAGCTGGAGAGTCAACAGCTGAGCTGGGCACAACAACAGGATCCTTGGCTGGCTTTAGGATTGCAGGAACAGAGTTTGCTACCACCCATAGTTTCCTCATTGAAAGGCTTTGTCTCGACATCACCAAAGCCACAGTTGCCTTTTCAGTGGGCAAGGCTCCAGGCAATTCCATCTAATTTGGAAATTGGCCTTGAGCTGGACCAGGTCCTTAAAACCTGAATCATTCTAAGGTCCGGTGGTGTCTTCACTTTCGGGAGAGACTGGCTTGGCAGTGTCAGGTCTCCTGGCACTGACCCCAGCTCTGCTCCAGACTAGGAGATCCTGCAAAGAAATTGCTTCAGCTTCTCCTCCCTATTACATATAATATTATATAGAATGACAACTCCTGATTAATTTCCCCATCAGAAAGGAGCTCTCAATAGTTGGCCTGTTTCTTATTTACATGTTGGCCCTTTTCCACTGGAAAG